ATTAGAAGTTTGTGATGTGTTAGTATTGGTAATGATTGGTAATGTAGCAATTGACACTAACATGTTTAAATTTTTTGAAAGAAACCCCATGTCTCCCTTCCACTATGTTTCGTCCTTGAGAGAGTGATAAGGGAATGATGTTTAAAAATTTTAATTCATGTATTTGGAAGGTTAAAATGTTAGAGTAAGTGGAACTTTAGTGAATTAGTGAGAGTACCAAAATATAAAAAAATCCTATGTTATGATATCTCTATGTTTCGGCCCTAATGAACCATAAAAGAGTTTGATGTTCAAAATTTAATTGGACCTAGTGGATACATGCCTAAGTATGTGCAAGTTGCAATTTAAGTGAAGAAAATGAATTGTAAAATAAAAGAATCCTTGAAAGTTCCCTTAGAGATTTCGACCTATAGAGGGATTTTAGGAATAAATTAAGTTACATTTTATTTTAATAAAATGTGGAGCTTCCAATGCATGAAATTGACGAGTTTAAGAAGTGAAATGACTTGAAAAATTGTTGAAAGAAATATTGGTTCCCTTTATGTGTACCCACAACCTTATGGAGAAAAATGGCATGAAAAAGGTTTGAAATTCTCTTGTGGCTACTTAGTTAATTTAGGGAACATTAACTATTATAAAATGTTAAATTAAAGGAAATTATAAAGGCATGGTCTCGACTTGTAAATTGGCATAGGATTGGCAAAAATATAAAGAAACAAAAATAAGCGATAAAATGTATGCCTTATGTAAGGATCATGGCATAGGATCATTTTATTGATTTTGTGTGAATTCCTTCTCTAGGTGTACCTAGGGACTGTGAACGTTTGGATTCTCGTGAAGCAAGATAAGTAGCTTGTTCTTTAAGTAAGCAAATTGTAAAGTTCCAAGAGGTAAGCTCTATGTTTATGGGGTTCGCTCCTACTTTGTGTTCAGCCATAGTGTACGGACTGTGCTCAGGTTGTATGATATGTATGAGATATATGATATGTTTTGATGTGTTTAATTTGATATGTTTTGATGTGTTTACTTAGATATGTTTCGATATGATTTATGTAATGATTTCTGGATATTGATTTGTTTATGCACTGATGTTTGCTTGGGGTCCTCCCTTGAGACTGACTGTGTATATATCTGTTATATGTTGAGTTCCGCTTGGGGTCCTCCCTTGGGAACATGTTCACTGATTTTCTCTTGGGGTCTTTCCTTGGGATTGATTGTGTACACTCTGTTATGTGATGATCTTTGGCCATTGATCCTATGTGCACTGATGTCTACTTGGGGTCATCCCTCGGGACTGATAGTGTACATCTCTGATATGTTTTTGGTTCCGCTTGGGGTCCTCACTTGGGAACATGTACGTTGATTTCTGCTTGGGGTCATCCCTTGGGAATGACTACGTACATTTCTAATATGATATGCTTTGTTCTTATGTGATTATTGTGATAATTTTTGTATATGATATTTGTTACGTGCGTTGATTTCCGCTTGGGGTCATCCCTCGGGAATGACTGTGTACGTCTCTGATAAGATCTGTATATATGTTTTACTCAGTGAAGATATATTTTGGTTGGGGTCATCCCTAGAGATTGACTGTGTACATATCTTATATGTTTTTGTTTCCACTTGGAGTACTCCCTTGGGAACACGTACATTGATTTCCACTTGGGGTCATCCTTTGGGAATAACTGCGTACGTTTCTGATAAGATATGTGTATATGTTTTGTTTAGTTATGATATTTGATTATATGACATGTTTTATGGGATATGTATGATGATTTTGTAAATGATATTTGTTACGTAGGTTGATTTCCGCTTGGGGTCATCCCTTGGGAACGATTGCGTACGTCTCTGATATAACACGTTTTGTTCTGATGTGAGTATTGTGATGATTTTTGTAAATGATATTTGTTACGTGCGTTGATTTCCGCTTGGGGTCATCCCTTGGGAATGACTGCGTATGTTTTTGATAAGATATGTATATATACTTTGTTCAGTTATGATAATTGCTTATATGATATTTTGTATATTATGTATCTGACTGTCATGCAGGAAGTGAGCTCAGGGTATGGAGAGTTTTCCATAAACCTGGAGTTTACTAGAGATTCGTCTCTAACCCCGTTTGGGGATATGATTTCAGGAACACAGTTAGAAGAGCCTCATGGGACAAGGACACTAACCGTGGCTAGAGGTACTAGTATGAGGATGTGGAGTTCTGGGTGACCGGAGGCTACTATTTGTTCTAGACGTATTTTTGAAAAAGATGTATTGTTGGATAATGTTCATATTCGATACATGTACATTTATGTATTCAGGCATGATGATATGACTATGTAGTATTCAGTTATGTTATGTATTGGATTGCATGACTGGTACTTCTGGAGATATATATTGTTTAAACTGTCTATCAGAAACTCTTGGGAGTGGGATTGAAAAATCTCCAGTTGTCCGATTTACAAAGGTTACTCTGTCGATTTTCGTTTACGCCTAATTTGAAAAAGAAAAAGTTAACTCGTATTTTCGTAAGTTAAGTCTTCCGCTGTTTCTGTTTATATCATATGTATGTTAATTGAACCGGCTCGAGACGGAGATGTTACATCTGCAAATATTGCCATCACATAGATGTTACCCACAAGTCGTGCTCTTGCTCAGAGTAGATTGACATATCACACCTAGTTCGCTATGCCAGCCAGCGAATTATGCATAAGCTGCCACGTGTCCTGTTTTTGCTAACAGCAGATTGACATGTCACACCTAGTTTGTTGTGCCAACCAAGTGAATTTCTTAGAGTTTGTCACGTGTCCTTCTTAAGCTCATAGTAGACTGACTTTTTGACCGTCTAGTTCGCTATTGTTAGTAGTGGCCACCAGAAATATGTCACATTTGCAAAATAGTTCACTATCTATTGTAACGAGTTAGCACGCCTGATAGTTTGAGAAATTTTGCTCATTTGAATAATTATTTTTGAAAAATGTAGCAAATGGATCACTATTCCGGCAAGATAATTGGGTTGAGAGAGAGAGAGAGAACGCATTTAATTTGGAAGGGTAAAGCACAAAGTAGATTCTGCACCGTACAGCATGCCACAGCGTGATCCGATTCATGCATTGCACACTCAGAAGCGGATGAATTAAAGCAAAGTTGCTAGGGGGGAATTGTTGGCTGCATGTGATTTATAGAGACTTAATCATTGGCTTGCTTCAAATTGACGCATCCTTTGATACTGTCACATTCTGCACGCAAAGCGTCAACGCCTGCGCCGACCCCACATTTTCACCCTCCTTTCAACAAAAACTACAAACCTCGTTTAATTTGTCAGTTAACAACTAAACAATGTTAATGGACGACAGGCTGGTTGGTTATTATTATTATTATTATTTTTTGTTTTTATGAATGGTGATGAGGCATAGTGCAACTACTTAGTTGGCTCTGGCTTTTTCTTCTTCTTTAACCGTATTCCAACTGTCCAAATTGTGCATACAAACATGCTTTGCCCTTGAGGCCTCCACTACTCCTTGAGCTTTACACTCATCATAAACTAAGCCCGCTCAATCTTCTCTCTCTTCTTTTCTCTCTCTCTCTCTCATAGTGGGTTTTTGTTATTGCTTTTACATTGACTTTCACTGTTGTTGCCTTTGGTCTTGCTTCGCATATAATCCACCTAACCTGGCAGATGAACTGGTAGCTCGTTTAAAATAAAGCATTATACCCCTTGACTTAAAAAATCCACAAGACGTAGATTTTTTAAAGTGATTAATTAGGAGGCAAGAAAGTGGGAAGCTTAGAACTAATCGTCTACTTCTAATCCATAATTGACATTCACCAAATTGAACAGATAAATACATTAAGCGGTCAAAGTCCAATATACACAGAATTGTTCCCACCCGAACTCAAACGAATTCCCGTGAATTGAAACAACACACCCTCTACATAGAATTCAAGGATTATTTGGAAAAACCCATCTAGCTTAATTTGAAACAGCCGTTCTACCAAGGCAACAAGGACAATGAATATTTTTACTAACGACATAGACGTAAGTCCTAATATATTAAGGTAACGAAAACAAGTCAATCCCTTCACACCGAATTTAATGGGACGAAAACCAAAGCCTCTTTTCTCTCTCTTTGGTGGGCTCTAAAAAAGATAACATAACATTTAACAAGTGGAATATTCCACTAGGATGTTCCATTCCATGCTGCTGCTCTAACCTGATTAATTACCTCATGATTCACGAAGCACGCTCACACTCTCCCTTCCTCTCTCCTTTCCCCTATTCAATATTCACCCTGCCAAACCATTCACCCCTTCACATGAGCACGTGCCACCATGTGCAGCATCACCTTAACACGGCTAATTCATTCATTCACCCATTCATTCATGCATAAAGCTAAGTAATTCATAGCCTGGCCGGACAACAACAACAACAAAAGCAAGCTAACGCTCCCCCACACCCTGGATCTGACACGTGGACCCCTCCCATCACAAGACTGTGAAAAGAAGAGACGGCGGCCGTCCATTGCACACAAGCAAAAGTGCAGACAAAAACTTTCCACATCACCGTCGTAACATCGAATAATTCTTTGGTACTATTGTAGCATCAAAGATTCAGTACATCTCACCAATAAAAATATTACATGTCAGCTAAAGTTATCTTTTATCTGCCAAATTTTTTCTCCCTCCTATAATATGTAATACTCCTATTGGTGGGATGCATTGAATCTTGGTGCTACAGTAGCACCAAAAATTTATTCAATAACATCTCATCTCACCCTCTGCATTTAGCCAACCACATCACACCAAGCCAAACCCAAAGTTTTAACCTTTGCACTCACACTCACACATTTATATATATATATATATATATAACTAAAATGTACAGATTGAGAAAGGTAGCTCCCAACAACAACCACACCAAACCATACTATAATTAACATACCACACCATAAACTCCTTTTCATTTTAAGCCCTCTTCTGTCTTAGCTTATTAAACTTTCTGTATCTCTATGGACTGGACTAGGGGCCACACCCTCGGCCGGGGCTCCACCGCCGCAGTCTATATTGCCGAGGCTTGCCGGTCCGGTGAGGTGTTCGCCGTGAAATCGGCGGAGCTCCACCGTTCGGAAATGCTCAAGAGGGAGCAGAGGATTCTTTCCACACTGAGGTCTCCTCAAATTGTGGCATACCAAGGTTGTGATGTTACATTCGAGAATGGTGATCACTGGTACAACTTGTTCATGGAGTATGCACCTCACGGGACACTCGCTGAGGCAGTTCACGGTGGTGGGATGGAAGAAGATGTGGCGGGGTCCTACACGCGCCAAATTCTTCTTGGACTGAACTACCTCCATTCAAACGGGATAGTGCATTGCGACGTGAAGGGACAGAACGTGTTGGTCACGGACCAAGGTGCAAAAATTGCTGACTTGGGTTGCGCTAGGAGGGTCGATGATGAGTCGTCGTCGGTGATCGCGGGCACGCCGGTGTTCATGGCACCTGAGGTGGCGCGTGGGGAGCAGCAGGGTTTTCCTGCTGACGTGTGGGCTCTTGGATGTACTGTTCTGGAGATGATCACCGGGAAGCCACCGTGGCAGGGCGTTTCTGACCCGGCGGCGGTGCTTTATAGGATCGGGTTCTCCGGCGAGGTTCCGGAGATTCCGAGTTTTGTGTCGGAGCAAGGGAAGGACTTTTTGAGCAAGTGTTTGAAGAGGGACCCCAATGAGAGGTGGTCGGTGGTTGAGCTTCTCGGACATGGATTTGTTGAGGAATGCAAGGAATTATCTTTGTCGGATTCGGACACTCCCACGAGTGTGTTGGAACGAGGTTTTTGGGACTCGTTGGAGAGAACTCAACATCCCACACGTGATGAATGTTCCTGGGATTCTCCGAGTCCTAGTGACAGAATTCTTAGGTTGTTTGGTGCTGAGCCAATTTGGGAATGGGATGATGATGATGATGACCAATGGGTCACAGTGAGAAGCAATGAGTTGGAAGGTTTGTCCATTGAACAAACACAAGATCCTGGATCAGACACTATTTGCATCCTTAGAGACCAGGAGAATGGATTGGTAACTTTTTATGAATCAAAATTTGTAGTCACCACTATATTAGTTGAATTGAGTAGATGGAATGCCATTATTGATGATTGTTACCTTGGCGGTAGCAACTATGGCTGTAACTGTAGAAAATCATTATTAGTCTGGCCTTGTCCAAAGATTGTTCCCCATTGGAAATTTGATTCTTATAACACAAGAATTTTTTATCATGCATCGCTTTCTGCTCTTTCTTTCCCTCTTTAATTTCACTATGGATGAATCGAACACTTTGCAATTTAAAATTATAATATAATGGGGTAACCTGTGCCCGACATAATGGTTAACTAGGCCAAATTTTACCCAATCCGTAACACCAGCTTGCACCTGCCGTTTTGAAGGTAATAAATACTAAATAGTTTAAATCTTAAGCTATTTTAGATTAAAATTTCACGCACAAAATAGAGTTGAATTTACGCCTATCCCATAAATTTTTAAAAAGTTAATTTCGTCTATTTCTAATTAAAGAAGCATTCAGGATTTCTTTAAAATCTCCAAAATCAAATGTTGCCTCAAGCATTCTTTCTAGAATTGTTACTAGGCCTAGTCTCTGCAATTCCAAATATCTGGGAGTTGATGGTGACACTATCCAAGTTATCCTGCTCTCTGTCCTAATTCCCCACAGGAAGTGTTTCATAGTCCTTGTGTGCTTACTTTTGGTGCTTTTAATTCTATTCTTCTATGCATCAGCATTTATGTTAATGATTTTTACTTTTTAGTGGCATCAACCTTTTTATGCAAAAGCTAAAACATCACTATGATTAGGTTAACTAATAAATGAATTCTTATATACTTGATTTTACTTACAAATATTGAAGCAATCTGCACATTTGCCCGTATTTTCAAAGAGTAAGGAGACCCCATATTATCTAAGTTAGAAAAAGCCAACCAACCCAAAGTTAATTGTCCCTCCTCCTCGGTGCTAAAAAAGCTGGCCATTTATATAAAGATCTCCAAATTCACTGGGAAATGCTTTCTTATTCACTCATCCAAGCAAGTTATGAAACTAGAGTCATACATAACACTGTTTTTTCATCATTGAGGACGATAAGAAGCCCGATCACCCATACACAGGCTTATACTGTCAGATCCCAAATTCTTAAGAAACCCATAGATTGTTCTTAGAAATTATCTTACTTCTATTAATAATTTTCTTACACCTGCTACGTTATATTAATCCACCCCTTTACCAGATTTTATTACACTTTCAGAGTAATGGCTACTCTATCTATTATGAGTTCCTGGACCACAAATATAAAATATGTCTAAATTGTTGGTGAAGTGTACTCAAGGCTAGTTCGCACATAAATAACTCTAGAGGGGATGAACAGAGTTATATAATTTTTCTAATCATCCCCTATAACTTATTTAATAACTAGCTGAAAAGACATACACGTAACACCTTTACTTCAATTTAGTCCAAGTTCATGTTGGGTTTGCTCTTTTACTAAAGCCCAAATGGGTTATTAGTATGAGAAGAGCCCAAGGAACCTAGAGCCCAATGAGCTAGGGTTTCTTGGAACCCATATAAATAGTACCTCTTAAGTTATCAGCCTAAAAAAAAGGTCTTTTTTGTGAGAAAGATGCAAGCTCAGAATCTAATCAGTGCCCACACACTTCCCCTTCCTCCTCGAGAGATAGTTTGGAAGATCTGCCACAGTCCAGCTTCAAGGAGGTTGTTCGTGCTGCGGCGCTGAGGTGAGCTGTTCGTGAAGAGGAATCCTACAAGGGAAGATTCTACACGAGACCTGCGCACCGAGAGGTAATTGTGAAACAAGAATGATTCGGTAAGCATACCAATGTACTAGGTCCTAAACCGCTTCCGCATAAATCTAAGATTTAGTTCGAAGTTCTTATTACAACAATTTTGAATGATATGAAAACACAAGTAAAAAATAAGGTCTTATATTAGGCCAATTCTTTAAGCTTGCTTGAGGAGCATTTCCTTTAATCTTTTACACACGAGAAGCTTTTTCCCTCCTGTCCTTTTAACTTTACCTTGCAAAACACAATTTCCACAAGGTCGAGTGTATTCAAGTAAAGTCTAAATTTGCTTCAACAATGTGATCAAATTTTTCACCAGAATCAAGTTATGGCCGCAAACTTTCTTGCTTTAGCTTATTAATGAGGCAAATAAACTCCAATTTTCACCAAATTGGAAACAAAAGTTCACAATAACCTAACGAACAATATTTTGTATCAATCACACCAAAATATCAAATAAAAGAAAAATGAAATAAAATTAAGAAGAAACCTAATCATAAAGGGTTAACCCTCTTGTTACAATTTCAAATTAAGATACAAGCACACTCTACCATGGATCAAGGCCAAAAATCCCAAATTAAAGCACCATTCATGAAAAATAATTATAAAATAAAATATCGAATCTTATGTGCCACAAATCATGAAGCAAATAAAAATTACAAAAACAATTAGATTCATAACAAAACGAACATTTCCGCTCTAACACCAATTAAGGGGGCGTTTACTATCGAGATTCTTTTTGAGTTTCTTTGAAAGCTGAGTATGGAGAATTGGAAGTCTATGTTTGGTAGTAAAAATAGTACACTTTTCCGGGGAACAATGTTGGCCGTTTTTTGTAGTTCATGTGTAAAAAGTGGTATGGAGAAAATGTAAATATCTCCATCGATAAGTCGGTATTTTAGTTTGCCAGGAAGTAAAGAAAAGGACCAAAATATTGCGAACGATAATAACCTTGCTTTTTGGTGTGCCATCCGTAAGCAAATGGACTTTGTCAAATGAAATGCTCCGTCGGTTCTGCAAGGTCGAAGTTGTTGAGTATAATATAATATTAAAAAGTAAAGGTGGAGCTATTTTCATAAATAACCTCAGATTCCCACTAATATTTTACAATCAACTAAATACATACTCAGTAAAATAAACTACAAAATTTTGTTATAAAAAAAAAAAAAATAAACCACAAAATTTCGGAAAAATTTGGTCATACCAAATAACTTTTTAGTAACATTCGAGCAAAATATTTTTTTGATTATATTTCAATAATCTATTATTCTCAAATAAATAAATAAAATTCTTTTATCAAACGCTCCTTAAAGGAAGAATTTGATTCCCAAAAACATGTATGATCATTTTGGTTTGGAATGTTAATGAATCATCATAATTCATCAATATAAAGGGCGTACATCTTGAAGTGTAAACGCGTGAAATACCCTTATCTGACATTGAATCTCCTCGGTAACAACTTCGGATGAATTTTCTCATTGGTAGCAATATGACCAAGAGGGGAGAGAAATATGTGTCGGGCACTATTCCATATTTGAAAGAGTGTGACGACTCAAGTGACTAAAGTTGATACTGGTATATAATAGGGGAAAAACTAATATTATCAACATCAACATCAACAACAACACCTTTATACCAAATTAATTGGTGTCGGTGGTAGATGAACCCACATGAAAGATACAAAACGGTTGAAAAAAAATAAAAAAAATAAATAAATAAAAAAATAAATAAATAAATAAATTAATAAATAAATAAAAATACACAAATAAAATAATAAAATAAAATAAAAATATATGTATATATAAATAAATAAAAGTAAAAAAGAAAGGGACAAGAAGAAGTGGGGAAAATGAAGGGGAAAAGGACTAAAAAGGGACCATCTGGAACATAGGAATAACAGCGGGTCTAACCCTCCACCATACTTATAGCTTTTCTCCATTCCTTTCTAAGACATACTGTCCGCCAATCTATATCTCACTCCATTAAATCTTGTTTTACTACTTTCCCTCAAGTAAGCTTCGGCCTACCTCAAAAATTCTTAAGTCATATCATAGAGATAATCAATTGTGGGATCTATTATTTTTAAAATAAAATAAAAAGTAAAAGAATTGATGAGCCCACTTTTATGTTTATATAAAAAAATTGCTTATGTCATGTAAAAGGAGAAAAATATTACCAATATAATATATATGCTTTAATGTTTCTAAAGTGAATGTAGATAAGTTATCTATATTCGCTCCCAAAACGACGTCGTTTTGGGTTAAAAAATTAAAAAATTACAATAAAAAAGACTATTATAACTCTGAAATAAATTATAATTATAAAAATACCTTAATTTCTGACTTAAAACGACGTCGTTTTGAGTTCAATGTAAATAAGTTATCTAATTGACCGTATAAAACGAACCCTAATATATACGAACTCAAAAGGCTTATAAGTGACAATAACTGTGTCTGCAACATCACTGGCGGCGCTAGATGCTCAAGGAGGGAAATTTTTTTTTTTTTTTGAAAAGCAAACAGGAAACATAAAAACAAAAAAAGAAACTAGGAACACCTCCTAGACCAAACTACTCCTACATAGTCCCTTTCAAGTTTGTCACGACAACCAGAAGGAGGCGAGTCAAACTCTTGTAAAGACCAATCAAAGGAGTAGGCAAAAGAGGCCATCCAATCGGCAACCCCATTCCCTTCCCTATGAATATGGGAAATTCTAACCCTCCAATTCCAATCCAGCATATTCCTTATGCGCAAGACCAAGTTAGAGGCTGGATGATGAGAGCTGCACCCTTCTCTTATGAAAAACTGGGCTACTAAGGAATCACCTTCAAGCCAGACAAAACGGAAACCTTTCCTCCATGCAATCTCAAGCCCAAGGAGACAACCCCAAAGTTCTGCTAACAAAACATTACCACAGCCAAGATTTTTACAAAAGCCAACAAGCCACCTTCCACTAGCATTCCTAAATACACCCCCACAAGCAGAAGCTTCTCCATTATTCATACTTGACCCATCCACATTGAGCTTAACCCAAGGGTCCGAAGGAAAAACCCAAGAAACTAATTTCTCTTTATTCGAGTTAGTCTCAAGACCAGCAACCCGAAGCGTGTTTTCTGACCAAGAAAAATCTTCACCATAGACCATAGCAGCTCTAAAAGTGCCATAAGCAGGAACATAAGATCCCTGAAAATTTTTCTTATTCCTAGCTTGCCAAATGAAACAGGAAATGATACCAAACAGAAGAGGCCATGATGGCAAATTGGACCAATTACGATCCTCAGAGATATTGGACAACACCCATTGCTGAAGATTAAGAGAGAAAAAATCCTCCCAAGCCTCTCGCTTAACTGCAATCTCCCACACTTTTTTTTGCTGCAATACAATCTCTAACCGCATGTAAGGAGGGAAAATTTTATCACGCTCTACCCCACCTTTTTGATCATT